CCCCAAAACCCCAAAACCCCAAAACCCCAAAACCCCATATAAATTTTAAAATAATGAAAATAAATTTAAATTATTATTAATTCCTTTGCCTAGAAATGGAAGACTATGAAGAGGAGAAATCGGCTCCTCAATCTCAGAATTATGAAGAGAATAAGGAAGGATCTAATGAGAGTGAAGCTAATAATCTCCAAGATGAATATGATGATGCTGAAGGAGATTATGAGCATGGTGAAGGAGTAAATGCTCTCAATCTTGAATATGTCCGTGGCTATAATAAAGATATTAAGGATGGAGTTCACAATCTCACTAATGGGGAGAGAAAAGCAATATTCTACTCCGCCGCACATACTGGAGTTATTTACGATTATGAGGAAGGTGAGCAAAAGCTACTCCAGGGTCATTGTAATCAGATTACATGCACTGCTTGTTCAGCTGATAAGACACTCATTGTGACTGCAGATAGTGGAATTGACAGTATGCTTGTTATCTGGAACTCTTATGATGGTATTCCAATCAGAACTTATTTTAACCCATATGAGAATGGTATCTGCAATTTAGATATCTCTCAAGACGGAAGGTACTTAGCAACTATTTCAGACGATGAATTCCAGTCTGTTTCTATTTGGGATCTTCAGAATGAGGAGTTAGATGAGCCACTTATTACCACACTCTGTACATATGCCAGGGATGATAGACAACATTTGATCAAATTTAATCCTTCAGATATTTATGAGTTAGTTTGTCACGGAAAGAATCATCTTGCTTTCTTGTCCTGGAGTGAAGATTCAGAAGAAATGGAATATTACTTATCCCCTATTCAGTCAAGCTCTTATTCTAAGAAAGAGAAGCAAAAGGCGAGCTTCACTAGCACGGTTTTCGTTCCAGATTCCACAAAAGCTGTTACTTCTACAGATAAGGGAGATCTTCTAGTATGGGATATCTCACTTATTGTCGATGGAATGTCCCATACTAATGAGAAGAGGCTAACGAAAGTCCTTGAGCTGCATCAAGATGAAACTGCTATCAACACCCTCACTATCCATGGTGATTATATCATCACTGGGAATGAAGATGGAAGTGTGAGATTCTACGATTTCGATCTTAAGATTTGTGGATGGTTCGAGAATCTTGATTTAGGGCGCATCAAATCTATCTCTTTTGCAGATGAAGAGCCTCCGTCCGCAAGGCATGACGAAGATGAAGAAGAGAATGAACTCAAATGTGCTGACTTCATCGTTGCTGATAGCAATGCAGTCATCTGCAAGCTAGAGAGTAGGCTTTTTGAGGAACTTGAACCTGATCAGAAAAAGGGAGAGGTTATATTCACTGGCCTCAAATCTGCTATAAACTGTATAGCAGTTCACCCTCATGAATCAATTCTAGCTATTGGTGGCAAATCTGGCTTCTTGATAAATTGGAATTATTTGACTAAGGAGGAAGAATACAAGCAATTAAAAGAAGAACCATGTGCTATTGAGTACTCTCCAGATGGTAAATATCTCATGGGAGGAACAGCTGATGGTTTGATCCGTATCTATGATCCTTACAACAACATGGCTGAGATGCAAGCTCCTTGAAAGACTTCGGAAAGAAGTAATCATGCTATTAAACAGCTAATTGTTTCGAATGATTCTGAACATTTTGCTACAATGGATGTAAACACCTGTGTATGCTTATTCAAGAGAGATCATAAGTATGGTGATCCAAACGAACCAATCGAATGGGTCTTCTACGGAAAGGTCAAATGCCATGAAATAGAAATCACTTCTATCGCATTCGGAGAGTCTCTAGACTCTAACGATGAGATTCAGCTTAGACTTTTCTCTATTGGAAAAGATAGAGTTCTATTTGAGTATGATGTGAGTAAAAGTTCTGAGAAAAATGGGCTGGTCATTGATAATAGTAAAACAATGATGATTGAGCAAGAGAATGTCCCAACTGCTTGCATTTGGTATCCTACTATTGACTCTAAAGAAGACCTTCTTCTCACGGTAAATGATGTGTATAAAATGAAAATCTGGAACGTAAAAAGCTCTCAGTGCAGGAAGACCTGACTTGGCCCTACCTATGGAGGAGACATTAGTAGACTCAAGAAGCTTGAAATTGATGGAAATCCAGACAAATTTTTGGCATATTCCACATTTGAGAAAGTGATAGGGTTGATAAAATTACCTTTGGATGGAAATCCAACTAAGACAATGGGACTGATAGCCCATCCAAATCAGGTAAAAGATATGTGTGTCTCCTCAGATGGTAAATACTTATTTACATGTGGAGGAGTTGATCTCTGAGTTAACAAATGGTCTATCGATGTGACTCCCATTGATAATGCAATAATGATGGGAGGGGAAGGAATTGAGCCATTCATTAACCTTATCGAAGGAGGTAGAGATGGCCAAACCTTCCAAGATATGAAAGACTTCTTCTATTATTCCATGGTTAAAAGCAAAACTGAGGGAGGTAAATAAACCAGATTTGGTTCATGGCTAATTAGTATATAGAGGATACTACCAAAACAAGAAAGCTTGATGGAAAGGTTTCTATCAACCAACTGGGAAACCTCATGAGGGCTATGGGTCATTATCCAACTCTGAAAGAGATTGAAAATATGGTCAACGAAGTTGAGTTTGCGCATTTCTCAGAAAATTGCGAAAAAGTAGATAGGTTTGGTCTTGATACATTTGTCAAACTATTTGTGAACCATAGGCCAGTTTTTGGAATTGGTCGACCCCATATTGAGAAAGCATTTAACACCCTCTTTGTTGATAACAAAGATAAAAAGCCTCTAGCTAAAGTTCCCAGAGAATCTTTCCTACAAGAGCTTGCATCTGAAGGAGAGCCTCTGATGAATCAAGAGTTGGGAAATCTTCTAGATAAATTGGTCGGAAAATCTAATATCAAAGAAGCCTTAGGAGAAGAAATATGGCCAGAGACTTTCGCTAAGGATATCCTTAGCTTTGAAGAAGTTGAAGAAGATGAGGATGACCAAGAAGAAAACTATGATCCTGCAATGGAAGGTGTTACTCCTGATGGAACATTTGATCATAATGTGATCCCAGAAGAAAACTTTGACTAAAAGCTACATATATTTGACCTAAATATTCATCTAATTATGATTGAAATTGGGGTTTTGGGGTTTTGGGGTTTTGGGGTTTTGGGG